TTTTCTCCCTGTCTCCACGTCCTTTGACATATGACTTCAAAGTTCCTCACAAGAGAAAGACAAAATATATTTTCCTGCCTCTCAACTCTGTGACATATTGTGGCCAACAGCATGAGGCAGAAGTGACAGTGTGCTGCTGCTAAGACTAGACTTTAAGATTGACTGACATGCTGCCAATTGCTTGCCGGTATCTGGACTATTACCAGGAGCAGAGTATGCCTGATCCAGCCCAGGGGCCCCAGGAGAAGCTTGAGAGATACATGGAGCAGAGACTCCCCAGCAAAGATGCCCAGACACACCCAGGAGAGAGTAAAAACCCTGTCAACCTGCAGTAAAAACTCCCTGAGCTAGGGCTGTGGCTCAGGAGTAGTGCACTTGCCTGGCATGTGTGAGGACTGGATTTGATTCTCAGCACCACATTATTTATTTATTTATTTAAATAAATAAAATAAAGATCTATCAACAACTAAAAATATATTTTTAAAAAAATTAATTAAAAAAAAAAAAACCTAAAAATTTGCCTGGTGCAGTCTGCCTGAGGAGTAGTGAGTTCCCAGTCTCTGAAGGATTAATACAGAAGGAGCCCAATCTCCTCTGACAGTGAATTCCTACATTGGGAGGGTGGTTGGAACATACCAATAACTGTTCCCAGGCTTTTGCTCTTACAAGGACAATATATAAAAATAACTACTGTTTACTACCACCATCAATTCATAAAAGATAGGATGTTTTAACACTAAAACTGAAGAAAGGAGATAATCTTAGAATACAGCACAGTCATTTCTAAGCAAAGACACTTGGCCATCCTCCATATGTGAGCCTTTTTTCTTTCATTCTGCCACAGATCAATGAAGATTTGGTCACTAAATAGCTCCCTTCCCTGTATGAGCAAATTTCCAGAATGTTTTATGTAGGAATAAGGGAGAACATGAAATCAGTTACATAAATTGTGATTTAAATCTTGGTTCTGTTTGTTCTATGACAACATAAAATGAGCTTTTTCTCCATCAAGGTAGAAAAAAGCTAAAGACAAATTTGAGCACCTCCACTGCGCCTTCTCCATTGGCCACCACCAGCCTCGCTGTGCAGTCAGTGCAGCTGTCAATCCCCTACTTCCACAGAAGGTTTGAGTTGCACTCTGCAGGCATCTGAGGTGCTGTGCCCTGCTCCCATGGCAATAATAATGCGTGAGTTAAGAGGAAAGTGGTGATTCAAATGGAGGCTCCATGGGGGCTTCAGGAACACATGATGTGACAGAAGTGAGGGGCAGGGAATCCCTGGGACCAGCTCCAGGGGCACATGTCTCAGTCACTTGTATTGACCACCTTCTCTCTGAGCCATAAGGAATCACTTAATAGATGCTACTGTCATACTCTACCACACTGTGGAAGCCAGGCTGGTTCTGGCTAATTAAATGTGTGTAGTAATGGCAGGTATCAGTTTCATGTAGAAGCTCTAGGGTCACCGTGTGGCTCACCAAGTCTTTTTTTTCCTTATAATCTAACATGGGACTATCAGAGTTTCCAACAGAGGTGGCTCCCTTGGTTTGAGGCCCAGATTAAAGTCTAAAATCAACCCCTGGGGCTGGGACTGTGGCTCAGCAGTAGCGCATTTGCCTGGCATGTGTAAGGCACTGGGTTCAATTCTCAGCACCATGTATAAATAAATAAAATAAAGATCTATCAACAACTAAGAAAAAAATTTTAAAAGAAATCAACACCTGATGGGCATGAGACATAGGTAAGAAATAAAACTTGTTTTGGGTTGGACTGTAAATTGGTGCAACCACTATGGAAAGCAGTATGGAGATTCCTCAGAAAATTTGAAATGGAACCACCATTTGACCCAACTATCCCACTCCTCAGTTTATACCCAAAGGACGTAAAATCAGCATACTACAGTAATTCAGGCATGTCAATGTTTATAGCAGTTCAATTCACAATAGCTAAACTATGGAGCCAACCTAGGTGTCCTTCAATAGATGAATGGATAAAGAAAATGTGGTATATATACTCAATGGAATATTACTCAGCTTTAAAGAAAAGTGAAATTATGGCATTTGCCAGTAAATGGATGGAGCTGTAGAATATCATACTAAGCAAAATAAACTAATCCCAAAAAAGCAAAGGCTGAATATTTTCTCTAATATGCGGATGTTAATTCACAATAAGGCTGGAGGTGGGGGCACTAGAGAAGAATAGCGTTACCTTAGATTAGGTAGAGGGAAGTGAAGGGAGGGAAGTGGGGATGTGGGGATAGAAGAGGTAGTAGAATGAAACAGACATTATTACTGTATGTATATATGACTACATGACCAATATGATTCTACAACATGTACACTCAGAAAAATAAGAAATTATATCCCATCTATGTATGATATATCAAAGTACATAAATGCATTCTACTGTCATGTATAACTAATTGAAACAAATAAAAATCAATTAAAAAACTTATTTAATAGAAGTCATTGAGATTTGGGGTGCATCTGTTACTTAGGTACAACCAAGCTGACCTACACATTGCAACCTATACAATGGTGATGCCATTAGTGGGACTGGAAAGCTCCACAATAGTGACACCAGAGGAAGACGGTGAGTTTGCCTTAGATGTGTTTCTGCACCTGAGCCCTAGGCAGGTGGAAGGCAGGAGGAGGGGTAAAGACAGAGGTGCCTGTCCCCATGGAACACATGGACAACTGGGAAGGCAAGACAACCCTTGCATGTGTGGCTCTGATTGTTCCTAGGCTCTGAGGGGACTCATGCACATAGCAGGGCCTCATTTAGAGAAGCAAGGGCTGTTCTTTGGAATTGGAAACCTGGGATCTAATCCCAGCTCCGACGACGCTTCATTCCCACCTTCAGCCATTCCCGTCATGGATACTTACTATACCAGGCACTAGGGGAACAGACAAGGCCCTGAGCCTGACAGACTCACATTCAGGTAGGAGAACAGAAAACAAGAAATAAGACAAATAACAACGGGGTGAATGCCTTTAAGGAACTAAACAAGGCAAATTAAGGAAAACTGCTTCAGGAAAGAATTCTCTGAGGAGGGGATAGGTCAGAGGAAAAATAAAGATGTGTCAGCCATGCAAAGAGCTGGGGAAAGAGAACAAACTCAAGCAGAGCAATCACAAGAGCAAAGGGCCTAGACAGAAAGAAGATGGCTCATTTGAGGAGATCAAAATAAGTTCAGAGCTTTGAGAGCAAGGAGAAAATTCTGGCATGTGGGAATTGAGTAGGATCTGTCACTTGGGGACATGTGGGCTCCAGAATGGACTTTGGTTTTCACTGCATGTATAGAGAGAAGCAGGAGTGAGGGTACTGGCATGGGAGTGACAGGAACAAATTATATTTAAAAGATTTTTCAGGATGTTATGTGGAGGATAAATCGTGGAGGCCCCCAGTGAAAGAAACAGACCAACAGGGCACCCCACAGCCTGGATGGGTGGCCACCACTTTTGTGACCTTCAGCAGTCCTTCTCAGCACTGCATCTCAGCTGTCCTGTCTGTAGAGTGCCAGCTGCCTGCACCTCATATTTCATAAGTGCTTTGGGCTCCTGGAGATGGCTCACCCATGCTCGCCCAGGCATGATTTCTTCTAAGTGCCACAGCTGCCTCTCCTGGAGCCAGAAGCCATGTCCAGAGCTTGCCTGGGAAGGCCTCCCTCTGCCATCTGCCCGTCAACCCTGGAGATACCACAGTCTCTAGTGCACATCATGACTCTGGGTTCATCTCTCCATCTGGAGAGAACTGAGAAGACACAGAAGCTCGCCAGGAAGCAAGGAGGTAGTTCACAACAGCAGAATAAATGCAGGGGAAATGCAGGCCAAGGGTGAGGCTAGTCAAGCTCCCGGGAGACTGGCAGACAGGAAACAGGCAGGTAAAGGTCAAATGGGTGATAATGGTAGCAGGGAGATCCTTTCTATCCAGGGGAGCTCCCAGGCAAACCTGAGCTCAATGCTGGCTAGGAAGGGAAGGTTCAGGGAGCAAGGTCAAGATTCAGCTTCCCCAGAGGAACTAGATGGTCTCTGCCCAGCTGCTAGAGGGTGAGGCCACAGGCAGCCAAGAGGAGACACCCCAGCTGAGACCGTCCTGAATCAGCCAGCCCCATCTGGCCCTCTAGCTGCTCAGAGACACATGAGCAAGCTCAGCCAAGATAATCTGAGCCCAACCCAAACTAGAACTGCCACACTGATTCAGAAATTCATGAAAAAAACAATAAATGCTTGTTTGCCTGAAGCTGCTGAGTTCTGGGGCAATTTGCTTTGCAGCAATACTAACTGATACAGAGGGGACTGGTGGCTGGTAACCACTCCTATTTCCCTGTAGCCAGTCTGCTGAAGTCACGGTGCTGTTTCTTTGCTTGAAGTCACTACGTAAGCCCATCACTGGAGTGGAGTCATGAGCAGTGAAATGTACTCTTGAACTTGACTTTCAAGTTCCTTGGCATGCCTTATGAAAACCTCTTCCTCTCTCTGTGCCTCAGTTTCTTATCAATAATAGAGGGATTGAATGACTTCCAATACCTAATCCTCTGTGTTTGGACAACTCTAACCTCTCTATTCAGCCATCTGTCATCTAATCAACATGGATTTTTTCAGAGTTTACAGTGTTAGGCTGTGGCCAGAATCCCAAGGTACAGGCTCAGACACAAAGCTATGTGTCCTGCCCACTAGGATCTCTGTACCCACTGAGAACTCACTGCCTTGTGAGTATTGGGGAGATGCCTTAGAGGAGCTTTGATGGCCAAGGAGGTCACATGGTGACAGCAGTAGAAAGGACTCATGTTCACCCTTCCCAGCAAATACAGTGGTCCAGCACCCCAGGTGCCTCCAGGCTCCTAGACTCCTGCTGGAGCTGCTAGGGCCAGAACAGAGGCATCCTAGAATCTAAAGACCTCTGCACCCTGGTTATAGCTGCCCTTCATGACCCATGCTCCAGCCAGAGAGTGGCAGATGTGTGGATACATCTTTTCTCAAGCCCAGAAAATGGCCCTACCATGGAACCAGGGAGCGATCGACTTGGTGTTCCTCTCGAAGCCAGCTCGGCGAGGCAGCTGCTCCTCCTTAAACCAGCGGACAATGACTTCTCTGGAGAGTGGACGCAGTGGGCGCTCCCAAGTCCTGCTGAGAAGACAGGGGAAAGTGGAAGAGTCAGGGAGGGATGGAGGAAGGAGGGAAGGGGAAGATAGGGAATAGGAAGAAGTGAGAGGGAAGAGGAAGGGGGATGGAATGAAAAAGGAAGGGAGGGAGAAGGGGAAGAGGGGACACTGAGCATGAATAAGCACAATACCCACATTCATGCCATGAAGAGGATTCAACAAGTCCAGGTACTTGAAGGCACTTTGCAGATTATTATGTAGCAGCTATTATTGTTTTTCCCCAAAGGACACTGTTAACACTTGCTGCAAATAAAACCACACAGGTAAGCACAGAAAGAAAATAAGAGATAACCAAAGCAGGGGAAAGCCTTATCCTTCCCTCGGGCATAGGCCAGGTCATAAGCATCAGCATCCGTGAATAAGGATCCTAGCACAGCAGGAGCAAATTTATTAATGTGGGAGTGTCCTCTACCCACCACTAAAGTGAGTTCTGATTTTTTACCTCCCATGCCTTCCCTCTGCCATGCCCTGTCCCTGAGGGGACACCGGCCTTTGCCAGCGAGCTCCTGTGCTTTTGTGAGCAGAATCAGGAAAATGCACAGAAAGAGACCAAAGAACATTAATTTGCCCTGGAAATGCTGAGACTCTCCACCCAGGAAATAAAGAACATAAGGGAGAGGAGAGAGAGGGGAAGGGAACAAAACTTCACCATGGCCAGGAGATCAGTGAGGGATGGAAGATGGAGGGAGAGATGAAGAAGCAGCAGCAGGTGAAGATCTGAGTGATAAATTAGACACTTTTCATATTTTCTCACAAAGAAAGTCAGGATTTCCATTGTTTTTGTTTCTGAATGGTGGTTCTTGAATGCACAGAAATTGGGCCACATAAGACCCCTGTCGTATCTGAGTTATACTAAAATAAAGCACATTGGGAGTTAGAGAGCACATGCCAGGTAACAGGCCAGGCACCCAACAACCGTTTGCTGAATAAATATGTAGTAAGACCACCCTGTGTTAATTCATGCTATGAAAACACAAGGCCTGAAGAACAAAGCCTTGGCCCACTTGGACATCCTTAGCCTCTTCACTGAAAGGTAGGAACCTGGTAAATTCTTATTCTGTCACTACTCGTTGTGGCATTTAGAAGTCACCCCTGTTGCCATTGGTTTCCTTTTTTAAAACAAACAACTTTACATTTTCTTTGTACCAACATTTTGACGCTGAGCACAGTACCTCCTTTCAAGCCTCAGAATAGACCTACTTACATACACGTGTATATGCAAACACACACACACACACACACACATACACACAGTACTGAACACTGTAGAGTTCAAAAAAGATTCTGGAAGAAAGACAAAGGGTGAAGTTACATTTCACAGTTTATAGCCAGTGTGTCTGTCCAGGCTCTGCTTCTCCACCTCTCCACCCCACAGCTAGTCCTGCTCTCTCTTCTGTCCTCCCATGGGAAGGTCTCCTCCTTCTCAGTACCCTCCGGTGCCTTTCCTCTCAACTAAGCAACACAGGGCAGTCCAGCCTCTTCCTCTACATTTGTATTCCCCCAAAAAATAACTGTGTCAGAGGAAAGAATCCTTAGTTTCTAGGACTCTGTCTCCTTAGAAGGTAACAGGAGGTTAAAAATAACAGCAAAAAAAAAAAAAAATGCACTCCCTCTTGTCCTTCTGTTTCTAAGCAGTAAAACTGAATTGTTTCTAAGTAGAGTTTTGATTTTTATTTATGTTTTTTGTAGTGCTGGGGATTGAACCCAGCACCTTGCATGTGCTAAATGCGTGCTCTACCATCCCTTTTACATTTACATCTAAGCTACATTCTCAGCCCTTTTTTTTTTTTTTTTTTTTTCATTTTAAAGGCTGGAGAGGGTCTTGCTAAGCTACCCAGGCTGGCCTCAAGCATGTGATTCTCCTACCTCAGACTCTCTGCAGAATTGCTGGGATAACAGGCATGCGCCACCACACTCAACTCTAAACAGAGAATTTCTAAGCAAGGAATTTGATTCCCCAGAATATAAATGCTAGGGCAGGTGCTCCAATGGGGCTACCTAGCCAGAAGCCTCATTTCTGCACCTGTGACTCTCCTCCTGTCAGTAATGTGTGTCTACCCTTTAGCACAGTCAGACAAAGAGGTGCTGGGCAGGGCCAGCACCATCAAGCTGAGGGCAGTGGTGCTAGGAAGACAGATGTACACCTCTCTGTGTGTCCAGTCCTGTTGCTCCAACTACCTGGCATCTTGACCCCCTCAAGGCCGGCTGCAGGGCCACCCCTTCCCTATTGACCACATAGCTAACCTGGAGCCAAGTTCACCATAGTTCATATGGTTCTATCATCTGGGCAAATTATGGGTTTCTTAAAAAAAAAAAAAAAAACGCAAAAGTGGAAGTGAGCTTTTCTAACTATTCAGAAAACATAACAAAATTAAACCTCAGAAAAATCAAGAATTTATACATGATGGAAAATTCCATCACAAACATCAAAAGATCAATGACAAGCAGAGAAAAAAATACTTATCACAAACAAAGTTTCCTTTTCCCTAACATGTAAAGAGTTCCTAGAAATTGATAAGAAAAAGAATAGTCACACCATGAAAAAATGATTAGGGGAATGAACAGACAGATAAAGAAATACTAATGGCCCTAAAACAAATATAAAAGACTATATAAGTAGAAATGCACATTTAAACTTGCTCTGAGATGTTATTTCTCACACAAAACAAAAGTCTGACAAAGCACTGTTGGCCAGGCTAAAGAATAAGAGTGGGCTGATATAAGGAGGCTGATTCATAGTGAGGTTGGGAGGGGGAGTAAGGGAGGAATAGACAAACTGTAGATAGGGCAAAGGGGTGGGAGGAGAAAGAAGGGGGCATTGGGGTAGGAAAGACGGTGGAATGAGATGGACATCATTACCCTTAGTACATATATGAAGACACGAATGTGTGAATATACAACCAGAAATATGAAAAATTGTGCTCTATATGTTTTTTGAACTGTAATGCATTCTGCTGTCATATATAACAAATTAGAATAAAAAGTAAAATTTTAAAAAAGAAGAAGAAGAGTGTGAATTGGTTTGAGTCTTGAGGAGGGCAAGCTGAATTGTTAATGCACTTAGACCTTGACCCAGTGATCCCACTTTTGAGAACTCCTCTTTCAGATAATGATTGCATACATATAATTTCTATCATTCTGTCATTTATTCAGGGCACTGTTGGTTATAACCAAAGATTTGAAACAACACTAATGCCCACTAATAGAGTTTTTGATAAATAAATTATAGCACATCCATGCAGTGGAATACTAGGTAGCTATTAGAAGCTGGTGGGAGTGGGGATAAGACTTTTCATGTTGGTGACTCTAAAGAGAAACTGGGTGGGCACAAAGGACACTGAAGAGCCATAATGACCTGTGGGGAAGAGGGACTTCGGCAGATGGAATGCAGAGGAGGCAGTCAGATTCTTCTTGGTGCAGTCTACCTTATTAAACTTTCCGGTTTGAGAACCTTACATGACAAGAAAGGAAAGGAGTGGGGAGAGAAGGAGGGAAGAACTGGAGACCTGGTCAGCTCTCCCTGGACTGCAGGGGAAGGAAACAGGAGGTTATGAATAATCTCAAACTCCAATTAAAGCACAATTCATACCACCCCCACTCTCTGGTGGTGAACTGACTTCCAAGTGTTCCCTGTAGTAAAGGGAGAAGCAGGTGCTCACCACCCACCTCTGGGCCCTGCCTGTTTTTTTTTGTTTTTTTTTTAATTCCCCTGAATATAAATGCAATCATGTGGAATGGGGTCTAAAAGGAGCCAAACCCCATGGCTGGCCTTCAGTGGAGACAAGTGGAAGGTTCAGAGGCCAGCTGCAACCTCTTGACCTTTAGTCCTGGCAATCATGGGAAGTCCTTGCTGAACAAACCTCCTGGGGACACAAATGTATGAGAGGACCCTCCTGTACTCAGCCACACCTAATATGCAAATCTGCTATTCAAACAGGTTAAACCAGCATCATTGGTATGTAGAAAAGGCCCAAACCCTGGATTCTGGGTTGTTGGGCCTTATTATACCTTATTACACCAATCTGAGGCCTTTCATTATAACTTGCTGACTAGGGCCCATGGCTCTTTAGGAGTTAAGAATTGTGTGCATTTTGAGGTATGTATATATGCACATTTTGAGGGGAAGAAGGTATCCAGCTTTCTTCAGATTGTCAAAGGGACTCATAGGACTCTAAGTTGTTAGAAATTTCCAAACCCCATCCCACTGCATCTCCTTCCACCCTGAAACACAGACTAGGCACACAGAGGGGAAATAACTAGCAGGTTATGGGCAGAGCCCAGAATGGAACTAGGTGTGGCATGCCCCAGTTCAATGCTCTCCCCACAACCCCACAAATGTCAACGTGGATCCCCGACTCACCTTACAGGCACAGCGAGGGGTGGTGGTGGACCAGGACCAGGAAGATGGTGGTAGAGTCTTGATTCCTGCTCATGGTTCTGGCCGAGCTCCTGGAACATGGAGCTAAGGCCAGCAACTGTACCCTTCTGGATGGCACGGAGTGAGTGGCGCCGGTACTCATCTCGGGCACGCTGGGCCCTGCGGCTCCTCTCCTCATCAGCTGCCTTGGACCTGCGCACTGAAAAGGGGGAAATGGTGTGTTGGTCTGCACCTATGGCCCAGGCTGTAACACTGTGCACATACAGGTGGATTCTCTAGAAGCTGGCCACCAGACCTATTTGTGCTACAGGGAGGTTTGGAGCCTCTGGAAATAGTAGGGCAGGCTTAGCCCTAAAAGCATGGAGGAAGGGCAGAATCTTTTGATAACTTTCATTCTTCATGTATAAATACATGAAGGTATTTATAGACTCCAAGACACCCTTCTTTTTGGCTTTCCACATTTGCATATTCCTCAAGGTAGAGCCCTGTCACAGCCAAATGGCCTTGAAAAGGCCAGTATATTGCTGTTTCAAAAACCCAGAAAAGTCTAGAACTGAGGAAATGAAGGAAAAAGAACGAAGTCTATTAAACTCAAGGTCTGCCATTAAAATGAGTTATTTTGTAGTTTGATTGCATTTTATCACACCCCTATCTGCCACTCAAATCTACAAGTTCTTTGATAGAAAACCCCAAAGCTAGCTTTGGTCTTCTAATTGTGCAAGGCTAGTGATTGCCCTGATCCAGCAGTTCACCTTCCCCTCTTGGAGGAAAATGATACTTGTAGTCCACTTGTCCTCCACCTCCATTCAACAGTCACAAAGCAACAACCCACCACCTATCAAAAACTGCATTTTTATTAGTATTTGGAGGATACAAAGTAAGTTGCCCTAGTCCCAGAATAAATCATTCTTCTTCACAGGCAGTCAAAGAACTTTTTCCAGGAGGATAACATAACTGAGAAAAAAATTCCGTCTTTAAGAAGGTATTTATAGAAGTGCCCCTCATGGAAGTCACATACAGAATATCCACTTGGCTGTGAGCTCCATGAGGGCAGGTAGGGAATTTTCTTTGATCTGCCCATTGTTGGCATTGTTTCCAGTGCCTGGAAAGGGTTGGCAAGCAATACACATTTTTGGATGCCTGAATGCTCCTGATTAAGTCTTTAAATTTGTATTTGGCCCTGAGCTGGATAAAGAGATAACAAAGAAACAGACCTTTCTTTAAAAGCTCTCTAGGCCAGGGTAGGAAAACAAGACAAGTAAATATCTCCACCTTAATGAAGCAGGTCGTGAGCATTATTTAGAAGAGGACCAATAAAGCACTGTCAGCATGTAGGGTCTGCAGCCCTCACAACCTGCTAGGGAACTAGAACCATAACAGAGGAGAGAATTGAACCAGGCTATGCTATATGGTAGATGTGGTTTGTTCTCATCAAAACTCATGTTGAAATTTGGTTGCCAGGTAGTGGTGTTGGGAGGTGGAGCCTTAAGAGGTACTAAGATTTTTTCTGTTGACAGTAGGGCTAGTTTCTATGGGATAAATTATCTGCAGGTTGTTATAAAGCAGGTCTATTCCCTTGTTCCCTCCCTCTCTCCCTTGCTTTTGGACTTCCAGAACAATGAAAAAATAAAATAAACCTCTTTACTTCAGTTTGTAGTGCAGCGCAAAGCCTGACCCAGGACCTTGATCTTGTCTGAATTATGAATTACTTAGTCTCAGCTATTCTATTATAGCAACAGAAAATGAACTAAGACAGTCTGGAAAGATCAAGAGGAGTTTTTCAGAGAAAGGAGAAGGAAAAGGCTATTCCAGGAAGAAAAGCGGTGTTTGGGGTCCCATTGACTCCTCTGTAAGTTTCAGATAGTATGAACACCATGAAACCTGCCTTGCATTGTCGGGAGGAGGTTCAGACAAGATCAAGATGCCCTGGGACAGGCTTTGCACTGTACTACAAACTAAACGGCAAACTACACACTAGAAGCTCACGCCCTACAAGGACTTCTGGAAGTTGCAGAGAGACACAGTGACACTCAACTGATTAACAGTCAGGGGTTTTGCTTCTGGCTCCCTGTTTGGCCTGATACAACTTCTCATCTCTCTGGGTCTTAGTTTTCCCTCCCTGAAAAATGGAGATAGTAGCATCCTAATCTAAAAGCTGCCAAATAGCTAGTTTACTCCAGAATCATGCCCTTATCTGTGCTCAGGGTTCCTGCTCAGTTCTCTGACACAGCGGTTGTTTTTCCTCTTGACAGAATCCCCATGAGCAGTTACACAGCTCCATAAGTACAACCAGGCTAGTTGTTGAAAGAGGAAGGATTTTTACCTATTTCAGCAACAGGCAAGGTGTCTGCATTTATTCAGCACAAGTCTTAGGCCTACTCGGTACCTATTCCGTGCTGCACAGGGACACTGCTTTTACTGCAAACTGAGCACTGAGTACAGCTCTCGGGGGCACAGTCACAGCATGGTCACCATAGAAGTGTACAGCAGTTCTAACAATTTTCTGACAGATGGCAGTTCAGCATCTTGATGAGTGGGTCTCTAGATCAAGATCACCATTATCAGCAGGCGGCTGGGCCTGTGGTAGGCCGTGTGGACCAGCAATGTCTTGCCCTGAGAGGACTTACTGTCTCATAGGAGAAACACATCTGTGAGTAGTGAATGGAATTGTGGTGGGAGTGTGCACAGGTGCTGGGGCTCCAGAGGAGGGACACCCCAGCCAGCCAGCGACATCCTCTGAAGGGGAAACATCTAAGCTGATGTCCGATGGACACCCAGGATTCAACCAACAGAGGCCAGAGGAAGGACATCCTAAGCAGGGGAAGATCATGTGCAGAGACCCAGAGGCAAGAGGGAGTGGAGCATGGACAGAGGGAAGTGCTCAGAGGGAGGGGACAAGTGACAAGGCTGAAGAAACAGAAAAGGCCATTTGGGAGATCAATAGCTTATGGCTAATGAGTTCTAATCCTTTACCAAAAGGTGACTGTAAGTCACTGGAAGGTTTCAAACAGGAAAGAAGGATGCTAGTTGCACTTTTAAAAGATTGGGCTACCGCGTTGGTAATAAATTACACAGGAACAAAACTAAAGACTTAGAAAACAGAAATTCAGTCAGGCCCCAGTGGGACTTAGATGGTCTCAGGAAAATGGCCAGGGCAATCGGGATGAAAACTCAGAGAAATTAACAAGTAGAACCCTCAGAACCCTGGAAGGTTTTAGATTGGTAGTGAGCAACAGGCAGAGAGCAGTGACGGCCAAGTTTCTACCTTGGACAACCAGGGATGAGCAGGTGGGATAGGGGTGAGCTTTAGACATGAGGAGGAAGTCTGAGAGGAAAGGCCCAGAAGGCACTTGGTTCTAGAAAATCCTGAGTCTCTGCCCCTCAGGAAACCCCTCTTCAGTGGATTTGCCCCTGGTTCCCAGGGTCATGCCCACTCCCCTCCCCTGCACAGTGAGAAAGGAACCAGTGTCTCCCTTCCAAGTTCATTTGATCCAGTTACATCCTACAGAGGAACCGGATGCTTCAGAGCAATGTCAATTTGTAGTGAAGAGTAGACTGTCACCGAAAATTAATGAGTAATCCAATAATATAGCAAAGGCAGCGACAGAGATTTAAATTGTGTTTGTATGTGAACAGATATATTTGAAAACTGCTTTATGTGGTCGTGGGCAACCCAAATTACCATAGCTACACTTTATTTATTCATCTATAAAATGGGGTCCCCATAGGCCCCACTGAGATGTAAATGAAATATGGAAGAAATCTGCACAGCACCTGGCACAAGGTAGAACTTCACTAAATGTCGTCTAGTGTTTGCTGTTATGTAGGCTGAGACAAAGGGACTGATACGCATCCTCTAGGAAGAGTTTACCCCTAGGTGGAAGTTGGGGGGTGGCTTACGGCGGGGAGCTGGGTAGAGTCAGAGGCTCCTGTCGGGGAATGGGGGAAAATGAAAACTTGTGTAAAGGTGAGGTTTCCCAAGCACAGGGAAGTAAGAATAGGTGGCAGGGTATACACACAGGCCTCTGGAGACTCAGCCTGGTAGAGTCCCAGTCACCTGCAGGAATTAGCAGGTTTGGTACTAAAGATGATAAAGACTGAGAGGTGAACCTCTGGAAAAGCAAGTGAAGTTTTCCCACAACTAAGGTAAGCCTAGAAAAGGGGCCGCAAGCCCCAACTCAGAGACTTCCAAGGTCAGCTGCCAAATATCCTTACCGGCCAGAAATGTCAGATGTCTGCCAACAGTGACCCCCTGTGGCCTCCAGGAGCAACTGCAGCCACTCTTTAAGACAAGAATGTTGGGCTAACTGGTTGCTCAGGGGTTCCTGAGCAACTGGAGAGCAGACAGAACCCTACATAGGGCACAACTGGACACATGGGAGCTCAGGCACCTAGACAGTGGGGTGCACTTCAAACTACAGATGGTTTCCAACTTATAATTTTCAACTTTAATGGGGGTATGTATTCAGTAGAAACCATACTTCAAGTTTTGAATTGGATCTTTTTCTAGGCTAGTAATAAGCAGTCCCATCTTCTCTCACAGTAGCAAGCCACAGTTCTTTATCAATCAGGTGACCACAAAGGTGAACAACGGACACACTACAGGGTGCTATGTTGCTGAGCCAGGATGTTCTGTAGTTTAAGGGGATGAAATGCATTCTAAGTTTGCCATATTTTTAATTTATGATGGATTTATCAAGATATCACCTTGTCCTGAGTAAAAGACCATCCGTAGTTACCTCCAGGGAGAAACTTCAGGACCCCCCATCCATGGATAGAAAACACCCCTCTTTCGTATTATACTTTAACTTTCTTTTCAGCCCCAAATTCCACTCTGCTCCTTCCCACTTCCAGGCCAGATGCCAGCTTCACAAGCTCCTCCAGGTTCAGTCTGTCCCAAGCTCACAGCATTTTAGAATCACTGATATTCAATTGGGTGCAGTGTTGCAAACCTGTAATCCCAGCTACTCAGAGGCTGAGGCAGGAGGATGGCAAGTTTGAAGACAGCCTAGGCAATTTAGTGAGACCCTGTCTCAAAATAAAGTAAAAAGGGCTGGGGATAGAACTCAGTGGTAGAACACTTGCCTGGCATTGCATAAAGCCCCTTGAAAGACAAGGAAGAATAAGAGAGAAAGAGAGAGAGAAAGAAAGAGAGAGAGAGAAAAAAAGAAAGAAAAAAAGAAAGAAAGAAAAAACTGA